GCAAGGACATAGACGTAACTCCGCCCGAGCAACGCGTCCCAGGCTCCGCAAAGAGAAGCTATGCGGGTAGCAGCAAAGGGACCAGTGGGCCCACTAGTGCCCGGAGGAGGGGCCTTGGAGAAAGGCGATGGCTGACAGCAGCCGAAGACCTAAAAGGGTTCCTCACAGCTGGCAATCGGCACCTGCAGCAGCGTTCCTCTCCGTCCAGGAGGGACGACCCCAGGGCCGGCCTGATCACGAAGCCGAGCTGCCCAGTACCCCGCGGCCAGAGTGCCACCGCACACACAAGTTCTTGCGAGCCACGTTCCCAAATGCAGGTGCGCACTCGGTCACTGGAGGGTGTGTGCGCGCCAGAACGGCCCCATTGGCTGTCGACTTTGATGGGCCGTTTAATCATTACCGGACCAAGTTCCACGGGTCCTAACTTTGAGGCAAATCGGAAGCTCGGGGTGAATCGCCGTGAAGCTCGAGGAGTTTAGCTCCGGCAGTAGGCGAGGAATTGCAAGACCACCCGAGAGGACTCGGGGCTGGGGTGAATCGCCGTGAAGCTCGAGGAGTTTAGCTCCGGCAGTAGGCGAGGAATTGCAAGACCACCGGAGAGGACTCGGGGCTGGGCCACCCGAGAGGACTCGGGGCTGGGGACACTCCACGCAGCGGGCGGCGCGCGCGCCAGCGCGAGTGATGGAAGTTCACAGGGCGCGAAGCTTCCTAACCCGGAGCTAGGCGTGCAAACACTCTCTCTGGTCTGGGGTCCCCCGTAAACTCACTCACCTCCGATCCACCCGGCCGCAAAGTCTTCCAGCTGGAAGCTGCCCATGGCCGGGGTCGCGCTGCGCCTCGCTCTCCTGGAGCCGGGCAGTGCCCACTCAGTGTGTGCGGGGCATGGCCCGCGGGCCGAGCGCGCGCCGGGGGGCGAAAGTCGGAGCGTGGAGCACACCGCAGGTCCTACTCCAAACCAGTCCCCGAGTCACCCGCTGCGCGCGCTGGCGCTCACCTCTCCAAGTGCCCGCCGGCCGCTGACATCACGCCCCCAGTGGACCTTAAAGGCGCAGCACTCAGGCAGGACGAGGGTGCGCCCCAAGCGGCACCTCCCGGGCCCAAAGACGCACTCCTTTAGCCCTCCCTTCTCCCTGCCACCCTCTCCCTTGGCAACTGCAGCACCTCCGTGTTTTTGAGGTGAAAGTGCCAGCCCCTGCCTGTAATTGTTCACATTGTGCCCAACACTAGAAATGACTTCAGGGACATTTTTGCAAAGTTTATTACAAGAGGTAGGGAGTGAGCCTTTATCCAAAGTTAGGAAATACACGATTACAAACACCAAAGTCTTTCTGAGATCATTCTAACTAAATATACAACCATAAACCAGCAGTTCTTAATTCTTTGAGGAGCTAGTTGAAAGCCATGGTCAGTTTCACTATGCAATAGGCAGGACACAATTTTCCATTCCAGTTTTAGAAATTACTAGGACCCCCTCCTGCATGGCCCTCAGGTTGAGGACTCTACCTATTAGTGAATAATTGAAATAATGTGTTAAAAGCACCTAGCCCAGAAGTCAGCTTCCACTCAGCTCTAAATAAATATTAGCTATTAATAATGTCCAACATTTTCTGAGCACTTCAATCATACCCCACTCCTTGCACCTGGGCCTACTCCCTGCAGCAACTCTGAGGTGGGTACTATTGAACCCCATATCATAGATGAGGAAAATGATTATATGTTTAAAGTACATAATGTTGTATGTGTGTATGTCTCACACATAGATTTTAATCTTTTAGAAAACTGGCCCAAATTAGGAGATGAAAGTTGTCACATCTGAGTTACAGGCTTA